AGTGTCTAATGGAGTGAGAAAATAATGTTTTGCCTCTTAGCTTGGTATGTGCATTGCCTGTGGAATGGACAGTAACAGGAAAGCCAAGTGTGCACAGCATTTTTTGTTTATATATTACCACTTATGGCTTGGACAAATGGTGATGGCTTGGAGTGACTTTTGTGTTTGTAAGGCACTTGAGATTGCTAACTCACAGGATAACGAAGGTGCTGCTTTACTGACCATTTTTTAACTAACTGATCTTATTTTAACTAACAGTTCACAGCTTACTAATATAAATGTACATCTGAATAGAAAATGTACTAACTCTATCTTCTGTATAATTTATTATATGACCATAGTAACTATCTAATTTGCTTTAGTGCTAATTTTGAGTAGAAATGCAAAGTGTGAAGGGGTCTGTGTACTTGTATCACAGGTCCTCCTTACACAGGACCGTCACACAGTGTGAATCAGTATCATACAAGTTTATTAGAGTTCTTATGTATTTAAAATATTAATAATACTTTGAATTTAACAAGAAGGATTACCTCACATCCAAAATCTGTCTTCTGGATAAAATTAGGTTAGAAAGAAATGCTTGAGAAAGCATTGAGAAACCTGAGCTTATAGTGTTACACACTGATCAAGTATTCAATGATTTCAATTATCATTGCTATCCTGCATCACAGTGCTTCACTTAGAATAATTTTCTTTGCTGTAGTATAGAATCTAGCTGTGTTAAATATCAGTGCAATTTTTAGTGGTTTGGTTTCTTTTTAAAGACAGACATAGTATTTCCTCTGAATTCTCAGTTTAAAATAAGGGATTGGTGACAGTGTGGCTTGCTCGTTGCATCATCTGATAAAGGGACAGCTGATATGTCAGGTAAATAACTCCACAGTCCCTCTTCCTTAAAAAGTATGCAGTCTAGATCTGATAGAGCGGTGGAGCAAGTCATGGAAGTCTTGGAAGTGGTTTGTAGACTTTTAGACTTGTAGGAAAATATTTAAACTGTGAGAACTAAGTGTAGGATGAAGGGTGGGTGCAGACATGGGGCTGTGACAACTTCTGCCAGGTCTGATCCAGTTGGAGTACTTTGTGGAAATAAGCCTTTGTTACTGCTGGCTGAGCATCCATGAGGAGAGGCCAGGAAAAGTCGTCGAGCCTTCAAGATAACAACTCGCATGGGAAATTTTGCTGTAGAACTTTTCCTTTATTATATATAATGTCTCTCAGTTTGTGCTCTGTCATTTCTGCCTTTAGTCTGTGCATCTCAGGCTGTCAGACTTTTTGCTTACTGAAAAATGACTTTACTGAGTGCTAGTGGGGAAAGATTATGGCATGGCAAAAAGTTGAAATTCATGTCAGCAATAGAGATATCAAGTAGAAGTTTCTGATCTTTATTTACTTTCATTATCCAAAAAAAAAAAAAAAAATAGTTCACCCAGTACAATATTTATTTCTTGTTCAATATTAGATGTTTCTGCAAAAGAAAAATACGGTTAGAATTATGGACAGTGTGCAATAATTACAACACCTGCTTTTCCTATTACTATTTTTTAACTGTTAAAGCTGCAAATTGAAAATTAAAGTGGTTCCTTTATTGATCTTCACCCTTTTACCCTTGCTGAAAGAGCATCATTTTGCTGCGTGAAGTTGCTATTATGGTGTTCAGTCATTCGGAGTGGTGGTGTATGCTTGTCATTCTTGCCTATACTGTTCTGCTTAATAGCGATTTAGCAGTCATTCAGCCATGTTAAATTAGCCCTTCATATCAGATGTGTTTACTTTTTGATAACCGTTATTTTTGACATTTCCATGAAGTAGGCAATTTTATTTTGAAAGAAATCAATTAGGTTGTTAATTTATAAAAGAAATACAATATAATTGAAAAAAATGTGAGTTGGTAGAAATATGTGAAAGTAAAGCATTATTGCTGTGCATCAAATCTTTAATTAAGATGCTAAAATGTTACATTTTTGTACAGAAGCAGTTATTGTAACTCACCTTTTCTGAGTTTGCATGTAATCTTTTTAATGATGAAGGAATAATACAGCCTGTAAGGTACAGCAGTTACTGAGCCTGGCTGCCACTGCTGTGGTTAAATACGTATGTGGTTTATGAAAAGGAGACCTCCTTTTATCTTTAAATACACTCTTTAGATACACATCTAAACAGAGTACATATGGCACCTTTAAGCACATTGCATAAAGTACAGTGTCTACTCTCTTTACTTATAGCAAAAGATAGGGTTTTATCCTGCACAGCAGTAGCTTCCACAGAAATTCAGGATCCTTGTGTGCCCATTGCATGGGAGGGTTATTGTAACTGTTCTCTTGTTAATACTTCAGTGTTTCAGGGTAGAGATACTGAGGTAAGCTGATGAGTTGATTACACCATATATAGTGAAAAGCTGAGGAGGCCTCTCTTGTGCTGAAAGAGCAAAGCATAGGTTTGGGTTCAACAGACCAAGGTACTGTAATGAGGGGAAAGCTTATATGCTCCTGGTGTGTTATGGTCACTTGCTTCTCTCAGGGAAATCTACTAAAAGATGATTATATTCTGCACCAAACATTTGTGAGTTTCCCTCAAGGTTTTAACCCTTGGGGAGTCTGAATTGTGTGCTGGATGAAGATCACAAATCCATAACTTTCAGCAGAATCCACACAAACAGGGGAGTCAGAAATAACTTGGATTATGGCGGGATTTCTGAGCAAATTGTTTTCCCTGCTGCCTTACTTCAAGTTTCTCCCAGCACTCACATACAATCCACTTAAAATGTTTTCTGACTTCAGCCATAATTCAGCTTCAAATAACTTAACATCCCTCAAAATACCTTCTACTGTAATTCTAAATCTTGGACTATTGCCACAGAAATCTTGAGATCTGTGTTGTATAAAGAAACTATGGGGTAGTCTAGATTTTTTTTATGGGTAACATGATTATTCCAGAATTTTACATTCATTTATGTGCACAAGGCCATGGGTCCTGAGAAAATCCACCTGCAGGTCCTGAAGGAGCTGGCAAATGAAGTTGCTAAGCCACTGTCCCTCATATTTGAAAAATTATGGCAGTCAGGTGAAGCTTCTGATGACTGGAAAAAGAGAAATATAACCCCCCTTTTCAAGAAGGGGAAAATGAAAGACCTGGGAAACTACAGACCAGTCAGTCTTATCTCTGTGCCTGACAGGGTCATGGAGCAGATTCTCCTGGAAAGCATGCTAAGGCACATAAAAAACAACGAGGTGGCTGGTGACAGCCAACATGGCTTCACTAAGGGGGAATCCTGCCTGACCGATTTGGTGGCCTTCTATGATGGGGCTACAGAACTGATGGACTGGGGCAAAGCAGCTGACGTTGTCTGCCTGGACGTGTGCAAAGCATTTGACACTGTCCCCCACAACATTCTTGTCTCTAGACTGGAGAGACATGAATTTGATGGATGGACTACTTGGTGGATAGAGAATTGGATGGATGGCCACATGCAGAGTTGCGGTCAAAGGCTCAAGGTCCAGTTGGAGACCGGTTATGAGTGGTGTCCTTCAGAGGTCAGTGTTGGAGCTGATTCAGTTCAACATCTTTGTTGGCGACATGGACAGTGCGATTGAGTGCGCCCTCAGCAAGTTTGCCAACGACACCAAGCTGTGTGGTTTGGTTGATATTCTGGAGGGAAAGGGTGCCATCCAGAGGGACCTTGACATGCTTGAGAGGTGGGCCAATGCCAACTTCAACAAAGCAAAGTGCGTTTCCTTCCTTCTCAAAAAATTTACTGTATTTTTGCTACACTGTGAGATGCAGCAGATGCACAAGTTGATTTTTTATACATAAACAAAAATTCATCATAAATATGTCTGAGAGGAAAAAAATTAATTGAAAGGAGCCGTTATTAGAAAGGGAGAACAATGAAGGTGACTTTGCTATCTTGGCTACTACACCTGGGATAATCCCTTTCAGTGTTACACAGGATCTCAGTGTAACTCCAAGGAAATCGGCCTTGAACATACACATACTGAAATCACTGAATAGGTTTCTATATTTAAGTTGGAACAATATTGCTTCTAATTAAAATCTATCTTACTAGAGCAGTTAGTGCTCAAAAAGTCAGGTAAGTGTAACTTAAGCTGAGCTGGTAGTTGAAGGAGACCAAAATTTTCTTTGTTCTAGCTTTTTAACTATTACTGTGGATATAAAAGTTCCTGAAGTTAAATTGTTTGCCAATTTGTGGGCATATGGTAAGTGTTTGGGGTCTTATCGCTTCTTGTTTTTGAGATGAAAGCTGGAACACTTTAGATGCTAAAGATAAGCGAAGTCTCAGTTACCTGCAGGGATATATTCCAATTTTTTTATGAATCATGGCATTGATACCATCTGGGTATAAGCCAGGTGTAGACAAGTCCCTAAAGACTGTGGTGCTGCAAAAATAGTTTTTCTTTTTTTTTTTTTTCTGAGCGGGGTGATGTGGTTTGGCTGCAGATTGCCTGTGCAGCATATCTGCAGTACGGCAAGCACACAGCAATCCAGCCCAGGTTCCCATGGCACGCTTAGCCACAGTTAATAAACCTCACACAGAGCAAAGGCGGCATTTCTGTGACTGCATCCCCAACTGCTGTGGGAGGAGATGCCAGCTGCCTACCAGCCAGCCTGGGTCTAGCAGCGTACCCAGAGAACAGTCCCCTCTCTGACCCTGGAGTACCTGGCAGGCACAGCAGGCAGTGCGCAAGCAGATCTGCGCAAACCAGAGCCTGTCCAGCCATGCTGTCTCTGGCTTGATGCTGGTCATGCCAGATGCAGGTCATCTGGGCATCAGCACTGCATGATCCTGCTGTGTGAGTTCTCCACTTACTGTGTGTAATGGAAAATGAGTTATGCTGCTTAGTTCCTTTGATGCCACTCTAAAAATGCAGGGATGCTTCGTCGTGCTAGATGGCTTGTACCATACACTCAATAATGGTATTATCTAAATTAATGTAGTGGGAGCAACAACGCATTTTCCAACACTGTTTCTTCTTAACTTTCAGGTTTTCCGAAAAAAGGCAGTGGAGCTTGGAGAGAAATTGCTACCTGCTTTCAACACTCCCACTGGGATACCTTGGGCATTGCTTAATATCAAGAGGTAAAACAACTGGTCTTTGGTGACTATAGCATAGAAAAAAAGTTATGCTGAAACCGTCTTCACCACAGAACTATTATAATTGCTATACAGTTTTTTTCTTCCCAGCTACATAGAATTTGATATAATATCCTTAGTTCTATAGTTTAAATTTGGAAATTTAAGTAGATATATGTTTTATGTACAAGAATGCATATGGGAGTACATTTATTCATGTACTGGCTGCTTTTTTGTCAGTTAGTGTGTTGCCTATCACTTTTACTGAAGTCTTTCGTTGCTTTTAGTGTTGTTATAGGTAGGATAACAGCAAAAGGACATGTGCTGCTCTGAAGAGATAAGATTTCCAGCCACTTTGTACTCTTTATTTTTAGCTGTTCTCAGATGTAGTATCAGTGTGTCCTTCATATCAAGAAACAAGAGTAAGACCTGCTACAAGTGACTTGCTGTTATGCACCCTCTCCCAAAGAGTGGTTTTGCTTTGGCCAATTGTGATTTGAAGGCAGCTGCATGTTTTCTGCAGAAGATGCATGCTCTCCTGAAGTCTCTCTGTCCTCCAGTATCTGACTCCAGACAGGTGTTAGCATCTCCTTGGCCCATCTCAGGGCTACTAGCAGTGATACTGTACTGGTAAAGAAAACGTTTTCTTTGCACTGCTTGAGGAAGAATACTGAAAGTTACACCTGTGAGGGATATTTGTGTACTTGTAGGGACACATCAGCTTTCTTCATGCTGCAAATAAACCCCAGCACCACCTGTCGCAAGAAAGTGAACCAAGAATTTCACATATCCCTGTGTTGGTGTTGTGTATTTTTGCGTGACTCCCTCCTTGGTACTCAGCATCTTCCACTGTTCTCTGTTTGATCTGTATTTACGGGTACACTTTTCCCATGTACATAGGACGTACATTGACATGCTCGCTTGGTTGGCTTCAGGCTTCACAGTGAACTACTCAGAGCCTCTACAGAAACCTCTGGTGTATCAGTTCAGACAGGCTTGTCTTCCACCTTCCTTTCAAACAGGAGTGAGGTGGGAGGCAAAAAACATGTCTGTGTGCTGGAGCAGGAGGGAGTTAGCACTTTCTGAACTTGCTCATCATTGAAGGGGCTGATGAACTGCTGCCCAGTCGTGATCCTCAGGCTTTGGCTTTTACTTGCATGCATGCTAATTATTTTTTCTCAACAGATTTTAATGAATTCTCCACAAGTTCAATAGCATGACAGCTTGAGTTTTGTGGTTTTGGCATTTTCCAAAGCTGTTACAAAAAACCTCTAGTTTATGTTTGTAATTGCGGTACTTTATTCTACGTAGTGTATGTCAACAAAAATTTGACTTATATGTAGGCCTTATCTGAATCCCTGCTTTTCCACTAAATATATCAATGCGATTTGCAAATAGTTCAAATTCTGTTATAGGTCTCCATGGTTTTGATCCTAGCTTCTTGCAACAACTGCTGTGGTGCACTACAAATGTCAGCCACAAACACTACAAGGTGGTAATGCAAAAGAGATTCATTTCTTATCTGGCACAAAAGTGGAAGAGGATCTCTGCCAAGATAACTTCCTTTGCTATGGCAGAAAAAGTTACATTAAATGCTAAGTTATTGGTTATTCATTCTGAGTCCTTGCACATCTGTCTAGATCTGACCTTCAGTAGATGACTCTTCCATAATACTGTGTGTAAACAAATACGCTGTCATCCAAGCTTAGGAAATGCTAAGCCACTGAAGCCTGCATATATTACCGACCTAATATGCCTTATTTCCGATTAGTATTTTATTTGATTTTATTTTGATCTGTGCTTCAAACTGGAGAACACTCACAATAGATTGTGGGTATCAGTGGTTATTTTTAAATTACTGGTTTTGGATTGACAGATAAGCTGGGTATTTGTTTCATTATGCAAATGTTCTTCACAAAATAGTTTGTTTTCTCTGTCCTGTATCATCATAGCCAGACTTGCTCTCCCCTTGCATGCGCCTCTGTGTAAACATACATGTTTTTTGTCTGAGCATGTCCTAACATACCGAAGGCATTCACCTGAAATCTTGTGCTCTTCTCCATTGCTTTTCTTCATCCTGCTGCTTTCAGCGCAACTTCCATTGCATGGGAAACTCACTCACTATCTTACTTGCGGAACACTTATTATCAAGCATATTTAAAATTTCACTGTACTGTTTTTCAGCTAAAATTATTAGCCATTTCTTGAGTGTGTGTTTGTAAAATTGCCTTTTGTCTCTGAAGTACATTTTAAGTAATTAGAATGGTAGTTTGTACTGGAATTACCTTTTCTTTTTTTTCTAAATGTTTCATTGCACTTCCATTTTTCTGAAATTCTCAATATTGCTGCGTACCTTGGCTCATCAGTAGCATTTGTTCTTCACTTCTGCTCATGCCACCAAATTTGAAGTTCCTTTCACAGCTCACTTGCTTATTTGAGTAACCAGTGTTGTATAACACTTGTTGACTGTAGTGACTGAAACCACTGGAATAAAGAGAGGCTGCAGAGGGAGATGCGTATAAAGTGGTGGTGGCTTGTTAGGCAGACTTAAGTCTTCTTCGGGGGATAAGGAGCACAAGTCAGCAAAGCCGCTTTACTTATTCATTTATTTACTCACTTATTTTCCTCCCTCACCCAAATCCTTTGTTTTAGATATTTTGTCTTCAGTACTTCCAAAACATCAACTATAACAGCTTCTTAAAATACCTCTAGTTCATAGTCCTTTATTTTTCTTCTCAGTGAGCCATGACAGTCTGGCTTCTTCATGCTAAAATTTTCGTTTCCTTTACTCTCTAAAAAATTCAAGTAATTTATGACTAAGCAACTGAATTGCTTGTGTATTTCTGTAATATGCCTCTCAGATTTATTGAAATAAAGAAGTCCGAAACTCTCGTAGGGAGTTAAGTAAGCTTACAAATGTCCAGCTTGCATTGTGTTCACAGGAACAAGTAACTTTTTTAACCTATCTATTTATTTTTACTCCTGTAACTAGTAAAAAGGAACTTCTTGGATTTGTGTTTATGGGATGATGCCCAGCTGTGAAATATAGAGAAGAACCCAGATTATTGTTAGTTTGTTGGATCAGTCAGGAATAAAATTCCAAGTATGATATCCTAGACAATATTTTTTTCTTTCAGATAGAAATTGTCTCTTTATGCCACTTCTTTCCTCTTTGAAGGTAAACCTGTATCTTTTGTTAGTCACTGTCAGTTCCAATAAAACCACTTTACTATTTGCTAATAAGCAAACCTTTCATATATTCCTATATGAAGGAATATATTTTCCATAAAATGTTTACTCTCTATATGCTGGCCAGTTGAATAGCTGTTTTAAGGTTATTTATTATTCCTTGTGTGCTACAATGTAGTAATGCTGTTAGGCATTAAGGTGCCTGGCTTTTTATGAAGAATCAGTATATCATATAACCTTTAAGTGCATCTCAAACTTTGAAAAATGGTTGCGAAAACTGAACTGAAAAAATGAAATGAAAAGGAAAAGTTTAATGAAAAAGTTTTCAACTGAAGTAAAGAGTATTTTTATTTCTGGAAACAGAACAAACTAGAAATGGCATTTTTGGATGTCCAGCCTGTTTGCAAGGGGGATACTATGCTTATTCTGCTGTCTCAATGACAAAGTAAATAATGTAAACATTTACGCATATAGGGAACATGGGAAGTTCTTTATAGGAAGAGAAGCTGTGAGGTATGGATGGAGTGGATCAGAGCAGGGAAGCTTAACAGAAATAAAAAAGGAGGACTTTGAAATAAATCTGATTAATTTGTATTAAAATCAAACCATAGGGAGTGGTAAGATTTACTTAACATAGATGTAAAATGTTTACTGTGCCTGATGTCAGCTCAGGATTCTTTACCTTTAACACTGATTATACGTTAACAGTGGACCTGAGTTGAGTTCAGTATTATGCATTTTATGAAGTGAGATAGCAGAGGCCTCACTAAATTGTTTGCACAAAGTAGTTACTCATTTGTAGGTAACTAAGGAAGGAAGCGACAAAACTGCAATATTTGTCCTATTGGAATGTTGTCAGAATGATTTTAAAACAAGGTCCTCTTTTGCCTTTTGGGTTTTGTTGGTTTTGTTTTTTTGTTGTCATTGTTTGGGTTTTTTTGTTAGGTTGGTTGGTTGGTTGGTTTTTTTTAATTACTACATTAAACTACAACTACAGAGTATTTTAAGTTATGTCTTTCCAGGCCTCAAAGCATTCACTGTTTTAACAGAAGTTTTTTGGAGCTACTAAATCCTCAGAACCACTGTGTGGATTCCAGAAAAGAAGATACACCCAGAGCACAGCTTCAAAACCAGTCTTTTTCTCTCATGTTACTTGAAAAAACAGAAAATAACAAGGAAAAATACACCCATAGTTTTGTGAGTGGTTTTGTTGTTGAATGATTTAAGAGGGATTTTATGCTAAAATGCCAGGGTGACATAGGCACAGGTGTTGTTCTCGTCTGGGACACACGCTCTGGTATTTCAGAGTACTTTAGGTTACAGGCATTTAAACGAGTCTATCTGTCAGCACTTTCTGCCTAGGAGGAAATGCAGCTGATAAACCAACCACCAATGTATGAAATGCTGGTCTTTAGACAACAGAACTTGCTGGAAAATATTTTAAAGTTTCCATGTAATTCCCAAATTCAAAATGTGTTTAAGGCCACACATGCCTAAATCACTTGAGGAATAGGTGGCCTTCATTTTGAGTGTGCTACCTCCTTAGAAAAAGTTTTGAAAAAGTTTTAGCTTACAACAGAGTGGTACTCTTTGTGTTCTGGGGCTTCTTCCAAAACATAATCAATGCACTTAAGAGTATATTCCTCTATAGTTTGTAAAGGAATCTTAATGCATTGAGAAAGTTTGAAAATATAAAGAGGGAAGGATCCAAGCTTGTAAATTCAGTAAACCTTTTTGGACAGCTTAATTCCCTCATTTACACTGCCAGAAATGCCTGAAACGTGATGGTTGCATTATTCTGCAAATTTATCCTAAGT